AAACATAACCTTAAAGAAATCCATAGCATATAAAGCAATCTCCTCAACATCCTCCTCGGAAGAACCACCAACAAAGTTTATTTTATGGATCCAATTTTTGGCCCAATTCCGTTTAACAAGAGCATGAAAGTACTTTTTGTTATTGTCACAGTCGAAAATATGCTTTGAGGAAGCTTTCTATTTCAGAAAAAGTTTCCTTTGGGGCTTGTAAATTAAAAAGGGAGTTTTTGGCTTGTTGCAACTTGGAAAAATTATCATCATAATGAGATTGTTTACATAAGAGATCTAATGCATTAACCTTCTACTCAGCATCAATAGTATTTGTAAAAACAATTTTAGAAACACTCATAAAATAATTGATTTTATTAATAAAACCTATCCAACTTAAGCCAAAAATGATTCATACCAAAAACTAGAATTATTCGGGTGAATAGGGGCATTCCATTTATCTTTAACAACATTAATAAAGGAAGAATCAAGAATCCACATGTTTAGAAAATGGAATTTAGTAGTAGGGGAATGGGAATTCAACTTTAAAGAAATAAGTAACACAGAATGGTTAGATAAGGTTCTACTAGTTCTCAACATTTTTGGGGGGAAGCAATTTATCCAAATGACATTAAAAAGTACACTATCCAACCTTTGCCAAAGAGTAAGGGGCTATTTTGTATGCATAACTAGGAGGGTAAAGTAATTAATTTATGTGTATTTCATAAATTAGATCATTTGGCTTATTTTGAGTAGAAGGAAAGTAATTCATCTACAGCATTAGCGGTATATTTTGATGGGTCATTCCTGTTACTTCGAAACCCGCTCAAATTGAGCGGGTTACAAAACCTCTTGCAAAATACTGCGAACCAGCCTCACACGAGAGAGGAGAAAATGTGCAGAAGAGCAATACCTTCCTTTCCAGATCGTTAATTTACCCTCACGGATCTTCAATTTAATAGAGGTAGCGCTTCCCTCTTAATTGCCGTTCATGAAGGTTGGGCTTTCCTCTTCGGCTTCACTGGTTCGCATGGGGCAAAGCTTCCAACGAGTCATTAGTCATTTCTTGTTGATTTACTTTTCTTCTTCCTGAGAAGTAATTGATTATTTCATTTGTTTTTTATTTGATTTAGTCGTCATCTTCTTCTTCGTCTTCTTTGATGTTTTTTTTACAGATTTGGTTGCTTAAGGAGTTTAAATTGGCTAAATTAGCTGAGATTTATGCAGAGAACTAGATTTTTATTTCTAGGGTTTCTTTGGAACTGGATTTTCATCTTTGAGGGGGGTTTTTGATTTGTTTTAATTAGATAAGTTGACAATGTATCATATTGCTTATGCATAATTATTGTATACTCTATGTTTCTTTTATTCTATTTATAATTAAAAATTAAGTGAAATGAATGTGGATGCTAGAGCTAGATGATTCATGTATTGTCTTCAAAATGATCATCTTCTTTCAATTTCTTTATTTTTCAGTATTCATTTCCTTACCTTCTAGCTCCGATTGCTTGATACTCCTCCTTCCTGAATTGCCCATTTTTTGTTAGCATAGCTGATATGGAAGCTCACTTATATAAGCAAGACCGATTCTAGCTCCGATTGCTTGACACTCCACCTGCCTGAATTGCCCATTTTTTGTTAGCATAGCTGATATGGAAGCTCACTTATATAAGCAAGACCAATTATGCTCAGACTGCTCTGTCAAGAATCATTACATCAAGTGTCCACTACTCATCAGCTGACTTTCCCTAACTAACTTTTATTCTTGTTCTTTACGCTTTATATACCACTATATCAAGGACAAAAGGTCTTAAGGGAAATGAAAATACCTTCAGCAATCTCCATGTCTGTATTACTCTATTTTGTAGGTTATTTCATGGTATCAGAGCATAGGAGGGAATAGCACCACAACGTATTCTCATGGTAGACAGCCAAATCTCGTAAACTCCTCAAGTCGTATCTAGTACAGCAGCAACATCTGTAGCATCTTATTTCAGTTTCCCAGCTCCTCTGAAGTTTATCATCTCCAACATAAAGTACATTGTTAACATTAAGCTCAGCAACGAAAACCACGCTATATGGAAACTTCAGGTTATAAAATTTTTTGCTGCAAATGGTTTTGATGGCTTTCTCTCAGGTTCTCAAGTCTTCCCACCAAAACACATCTCCTCATCTACTAGAGATACCATTCTCAACCCCATATATAAGTTATGTCAACTTATAGATCAAAACCGTACGTCGGTGCTTTTCTCTACCATTTCACCAAGCATTCTACCATATGTTATAACACTACAAACAACTCATGAAATCTGGGACACATTGGAAAAATGACTCCAACCCACCAACCCTTCAAGAGTCATTGAGCTAAAAAATGAGTTGTATCTCATTGATATACATGATATTCTTTGAATTATTGCATAATAATCTTCTTTGAAATTGATTGATGCAGTTTTGTTGCTTTGCTATAAGATAATATGGAATTACCTCTCATGTTTGTTTACCTTTATTCCCACTTTTAATTAATCGTGTGAAATTAGTTGTCTGCCAATATCTCCTGTCTTTCTATTCGGATTGACACTAAGGCTCTGTTTTGTTTGAAGGAATTTAAAGAGAGGAAATGAAATGGACATTTACATTTTGGGAAATGAATGAGCATGAAGTAGAAATAGAAATGAAAATGAAGAAGAAATTTAATTGAAAGTACTTTCACCTGCTTGTTTTGTTGAATAGAATTTGTGTGTGTGAGTGTGTGTGCACATATATAAATATATATATATATATATATAATCAACATTTTACAATAAATGCCTTCACAAAATAATAGACAAAAAAAAAAAAAAAACCCTTTACCATGGGGGAAATTTTTTTACACAATTGCTACTTCATGATCACGTTTGAAATATCTATTTTATATATATATATATATTTAGTCCTATGTTTTATACATAGGTCGAATGAGTTGTATGGTAAATTCATTGATGCCACAATCTTCATGGAGGTTCTGGTATTTATGTTTGTTAAAGTTTGTCTTGAACTGTAGTTTTCATTCCATGAGATCAGCCGTATAAACTTGTTTTCATGGATGGAATGCACAATTTTTATTCAACATTTTTTTAGGGGGATTGATAAGCATCTACTTCTTTACTTTTTAATTTATTGATTTATTGCAGAATTTGAGACATAAGTATTTGGCAATTTCTTTAATGTTTATTACAAATTTTGGTAAAAGTTTTAAGAAAATTTAATCATTTAGATGTATAGCTATTAATTCAGGTTTTTCATTTTCACTTTTCTCTATAGGAAAATGAGGGAAACCACACTGACCAGTCCATTAAGGAATTCAAAGGACATAGGGACGCCTGGTTCTTCAACGAGACCTTCCAACTCAACAATTAGCAACAGGAGTTCAGTTCATAGGAACATCCCAACCACCGGGGAGATAGATGAGTTTTTTAAAGGTGTAGAGCATTCACAACTAAAATTATTTACATAGAAGTATATATATCCTTACTAAATATTATCTTCTTGTCAATTTTTGCCTATGGAACGTGATATGGTATCACTATCAAGTGCAGGTCCCATACACCTTGTATCTTGTGTATAAAGCTTTTTATTGAAACAAAAAAGTTCTACAGTAATAAATTGCCCATTCAACCTCTTTTTCTTCAATCTTCAAAGAATCTTTCATTATCATGATGATGATTATCTATATGCAGCCTTTGTCTTTTATTTTGTTCCATGTGAATGTGGTTCTACTTCTTATTTTTTATTTTGAATGACTCTTGGATTTTAAAGGATCTCTTGGTACAATATTGGAAGAAAGTTTGTATAGAAATGAAGCTTTTTCAAATACCATAACGGATTCAATGTGAAGATTTTGTTCCATGTCTCCTGGTTATAATTGCTTTTATAGCTAAATTAAAGAAAGAAACCAATTTGAAATTTTTATTAGCTAAAATTATTTTTGTGAAAACATTACTTGATAAATAAAAAAATTAAATTTAAAAAAAATTAAAATTAAAATCTCCCTAGCAAAAGTATATTTACGTCTATTTGGAGCATACTGCTAAATTAATACACAATAGAATATTATATCTTTTAATCTAAAAAGAAAATTAATAAGATAATGCAATAAATAAATACACTAATTTTTTATAACACCAAATAATACTAATTTTTATAAACACACTGCTTTTATAAATACTCAAGTTATAATGCAAAAATAAATTATTACAAATAATCTGCTTTTACTTTACTCTGGATCTACCTATCCAAACAAGGGAAACAATTCTCTTGTGTTTATTTTGTAGACAACCAAATAGTCTCAAAGTATTATGAATGCACTACATATATTTTACATTACTTTTACGTTATATTGCATTTTCTTTACAGGTAACCAAATAGCCCCTAACATGATTCCTAGAGAAATTGCTACCAATATAACCAATATCAATGAGATTACAATCCATGATCATGTTATCGAAATCATTTATAAAATGAAAAAGAGATTTGGAACCCCTAAGTCCTTCTAACGGGATAGAAATAGTGTTAAAATCCCCTCCCACCAACCATGGGGAACTAACAGAAGCATGAAAATGGTTTATTTGATCACACAAACTCCTTCTATTAATACGGGAAGATGCAGCATATACAAAGGAAGTAAAGCAATTATAATGCAAATTTTTAATAATATAATTAATAACTTGGGTAAAATCACCTACAATATTATTCTTCTATTGAGGAATTGCAACACAATTACATTAAGAGAACAAAAGAAGGCTAATTACACTTGATAAGAATGAAAAGAATCACATTCCTCCTTGATAGAATACAATAGCAAGGAAGGAATATTATCAAATGAAAAACTATCAAAGAAGAAACACCAACTAAGAGCCATAGTAGCACATAAATTGGCTACCTTATTACAACTTCTATGAACATGATTGAAGACCACTTTATGAAAGTCATTGACAAAAAGAAGCTCCTCTGAAGGCCACCTGTCCACGATCCCCTTATTCTTTTTGAAAGAATCCTGAATGGAAAGAATCCTCTGAAGGCCACCTGGCCACATTGAGGTTGTCACTCTCTATAATCACCCCTTTGTACTCAAGCATCCAACTCCTAATGTACTCCGTAACCGAGAAAACAACCTCCATTTCAAGTTTGGGAATGTCCCAATGGACTTTGTTTTCCCCAAATGCAAGAATAAACCTTCCCTTATGATCTCTGAAAACTCCACCAACTCCAGCACAATGAGATCTAAGCAAAGACGCATCAACATTTATCTTCATCCAGTCTTTCGGAGGGGGCACCAAGACTTACGAGACTCCCTAAGGAGATTGATTCCCTAGTTGGAAAGATACGGACTATCTTTATTACTGGCCAAAGCCAAAGCATTAGAAGCTACCATCGAAGGAGGCAATGCAGATTTGCCATGTTTCACACAGTTTCTTTTCCTCCAAGAAAGATATATAATAGTACAGTAAATCTTAACAATGACGAGATTCTGAGAAGACAACCTTCTTAGCTCCTGCAAACAACTGTTAAGAAACTGAAAAACTGGAATAGAATGCCCCAATCATGCATCTATTTCATGAATTCAACCATGAATTTTCCATGTACCATAATGTGTTCATAGCTCTCATTAGCATTACAGCCTCTAGCACAAGAACGATCCACATCAATCCTTCGGTAGTGAAGAAATACATTTGTGGGGATTGCAGATTTCCCAAGTCTCTACCAAAAAATTTAAACTTTCTTGTTGAGTTTGAGCTTATACAGCCATGTATAATAATCCTCACCATCCATATTATATTAATAGTTCAACATATACTCAGAAGACATAGCAGAGATAGACTTACCCAAGTACATTCTCAGCAGCTCCCTCCGATCCTCCATCCCAGGGTTGATCTGAATATTGCTGATCAGCAGGATAAATTCAGGATGGAAAACTTCCTGAAGCAGTGTATAATTCCATTAACCTTCACTCGATATCAGTTGGCTAACATTCATCCCTTCCAACACTACACAATCCACCGATGTAGGCCATCTGTTAATGCACTTGTCCAACACCCAGATATCATTTAATATGTTGATCTTAGTTCCACTGCCAATGGCCCATTTGGTTATGTTCTGCAGCTGTCTTCCCCCATGAAGTAAAATTTTCCATGCATTTGATGTTACCTTCTTTTGTGCTCCATTCATTAAATCATCTCCATATTTGTACTTGATAGTTTTGTAACAAAGAGAATCAGTTTTTTGAAAAAAAATCCCAAGCCAATTTGGACCTCAAAGAACTAACCCTCATAATAGGAGATTGAAGTCCCATCCCTCCCATACTTCTCAGTTTGCACAGATCTTCCCAAGCCACATAATGCATACTAAGCTCTCCACCCGATTTATGCCATAGAAAATTTCTATAAAGTTTCTCCACCTCATACAACACTTTTTTAGGAACTAATGAATGTGTTACTAAAAAGTTTGGCATAGACAACAACGAACTAGAAATAAGAGTAATCTTACCTCCCAAAGATAATGTCTTCTTGCCCCATGTTTTGAGCCTATCCATGACATTGCTCAAAACTTCTTGAAAATCAACCATCTTCAACCTATTAAGGGACAACTTAATCCCTAAGTAGCTCATCTCCTTCACAATTTTGTAGCCAAAAAACCTAGCAATCTTCTTCTTAGTTGGATATCCAACTACCTTACCAAAAAGAATCTGAGATTTACTGACATTTATCCTTTGGCCCGTCCATTTGCAAAAATCTTCAACTATCTTCTTCAAGGCTTTGGCTAACCAAATGGATGCATGAGAGAAGATTAACACATCATCTGCATAGAGAAGATGTGTAATCCTAGGGCCTCTAGGAGAGACTCTAATACCAAGATCATGTCCCTTCTGCTCAATAGAATTAGAAACCAACTGGAAGCACATGATGAAGAGATATGGAGAGAGTTGGCATCCTTGACGAAAGCCACTTTGAGCATCAATCCACTTAGAATTTTTCCCATTAATAATGATGGAAAATCTCACACCTACAACACATTCCATGAGAAGTTTAGAAAATAACCAAGGGAATCCATACCATTTAAGAATTTGATCAAGTGCAGGCCATCCCATGCTATCATATGCATGTTCCATGTCTAACTTCAGAAACATCAAACCCTTCTTGTTCTTGGAAATTTTAAACTTGTGAAAGATCTCTTGAGCCACCAAGCAATGTTCAGAGATAGACCTTCCCGGCATAAAAGCCATTTGCTCTTCAGTGATCAATTTGGAAATACATTTCTTCAATCTATTAACTAGAATAGTGGCTGCAATTTTATAATTAATCTGGCATAAACTAATCGGCCTGTAATTAGAGGGAGTTAAAGGGTTTTTGATTTTAGCAATAAAAACTATTAGAGTATTCTTCCAATTTCTGCTCATATGACCAGAATTTAGGAAGCAATTAATAGCTTCCCATAAAGTTTTCCACACAATATCCCAATAGCATTTATAAAAAGATGAAGTGACTCCATCCATACATGGAGATCTATTATTTCCTTGCTGAAATACCAAAACCTGTAATTCAGCCAATGTGAATTCAGAGCTCAGATCAGCAGCTTCTCTCTGGCTCAGTTTCTGGTTTTCTGATACCACCGGCCAACTTGATAGCTCACAGGTTCTAGATTGCCATTTAGCTTCAAAGAATTTAATAAAAATCTTCTCAATTTCGTCATCTTCCTCCTGAATGTTATTATGCACATCTTTATGTTGACCTCATTATTCAAGATCAATTTCCCCAGAATCAATCTCTAGTACCTAGGTTTTCATAGCCTAGTGTAGACGTCGCCCATAGGATTTCCCTTAGGTGGTCGCCCACTGACGTAGCATCGACATTTTTCCCACCACTTTAATTTGAACCACCCTATTCCCATTTCTTCTAGCCGTGGCAATGTTGTGGAACACTTTTGAATTAATGTCTCCTTCTTCATGCCATCTAGCTTTTGCCTTTTGATTCCACCATGTAGCTAACTGATTCTAAGTTACATTAAGCACATGCACTTTACTTCTAAGCAAAAGTAGGTCCTCATTAGTCCAATCTACACCCATAACTTTTTATTTTGGAGTTCAAGAATATCCTTTTTCAAATCTTCCTTAAGAGTCCTCAGATTTTTGCACTTACTTTTGCTCCAAATAAACAATGCTTTCAATGTTCTACTAGTTTTCCTTTAAAGGATATTACTTTTATCACCAAAATCATTCTTCTTCCAAGAATGATACACAATGCTTCTAGCCGCTGGATAGGACCTCCATATATCCTCAAATTTGATATTCTTCATCTTGGGACATATCCTCTCATCCAATTTAAAAGCAATTGGACTATGATCTGATGCCACTCTTGCTAGGTGCCTAGTAAGAGCTGAAGGAATTCTTTGAAGAGCAACCGAGTTCACCAAACACCTGTGCAATCTTTCCCTTATCTGAGAGGCTCCTTCTTTGTTGTTACACCAAGTGTACCTTGGTCCAATGCTTCTTACATCATGAAAATCTGAATTTTTCATAAACTGTTTCATATCTCTTGGTCCTTTGAAAAATAAGAACCTCTTACCTCCTCTCTTCTCCTCCTTGTTCAAAATGCAGTTGAAATCCTCACAAATGATAGAAGGATTAGAATCCTTCATGCCCTCTTCAAGCTGTCTCCAAAGATCCTCCCTTTCTTTGCAACAACGACTTCCATACACCGTGGCAATCTTCCATGAACCCAAGCTTGGAATCAGTAGATCCCCCATAATCACTTGAGAAGAAGTATCCTTGACTACAAACGACACACTCTTCTTATCCCACAGCACCAACATTCCACCTGACAGACTAGCAGTTGGAACATGAAAAAATTTCCAATCATTCCCAATGAGGTAATCAACCTCCCTCCTACCAATATAAGTCATCTTAGTCTCCAAGAGACCAATAAAACAAACATCCTGCTCTCTAACCATCTCCTTCAAATACAAGGCGGCCTCCCTCTTCCTAGCCCCCCTGCAATTCCAAAATAAAAGAGTAGACATTATATTTTTGTTGGGGATTCCTCCCCACACATGGAACTCACCCTTCCATCCCTTTTCTTCTTCTTATGTCCTATTTTAAGAGGTCCCAAAGATCTTAACTCTTTGGCAAGTTTAATCTTATTGCCCCCACATTGAGAACCCACACCAACATACATTAAATCTGAATCATTCAGATTCATTCCAATATCTCCAGCCCCATCAGTCTCCCCAATGCAGTGAGTAACCAAGTCCTTCGACTTATCAGCCTCCTCATTGTTATTCACGGGTTCTTCTCCAATATCATTAAGCAGGACATCAAATCTTTTACTGACAACAATCGGGTGCATATTTTGTTTTACAGTTTTCTGCTGCCCATCCACTGCCTTCTTCTGATCAGGCATTTTATCAGACAGCATACCCGGAGCACTTACATTATCCACATTCTTCTTCTCAGTTGAGATTACTTTCTGCATAAAGTTAATCCCCATATTCTCCATCCTGTTATTCTGACGTTCATTCATACTTCCTCCACCACCATTCACCTTAACAAAGCGTTTGGTTTTAAATTTTACATGTATCCACGGGCCGTATTCTTACTTGATCACACCAGGATTGGCTTCGGGAATTATCTTGCTAGATTCATCTGCCACAAGATTAATGGCCTGATCTGTAATCCCCTGAACAAACTCCTCAGGGCATTCATCCTTATTATGTCCTACACGACCACAATGATAGCAAAACAAATCCACCTTCTCATACTCCACCCGTTGAAAAAATCTGCCAGCTGATCCTTCTATCCAAACTCCGTTCGATAGCTTCTTCTCAAGATCAATTTTGACACATACACGAGCGAATTCCGGCTTCCCCCATCGAAAGGTATTCCCATCTATGTACATCGGCGTCCCAAATCGAGATGATATTCTCGCTATGTTATCTTCATCCTAGCAGTATAGCGGTAAACAGGGGAATCTGATCCAAATGGGAGCAGAGATCCCCTTGAAGGAGTAAGGATCAAATGCAGAAGTCCATCGATCCATTCCGACAATGTAGCCACCAACAAACCACGGTCCACCATTGAGAATTTCCTCCACGGCCTCCTCTGTCCTGAACGAATAGATGATCCAATTCATGCCAATTGACGTTAAATGGAATTCACCATACTTGCTCCACTGTTTACTCAATTCCATACTACACACAGGGAATGTCACATTATTACCCAAAACTTTAATCACAACAGAATGTCTCAGGACATGCTTATTTTTCTCCTCCATCTCCAATTTAACTTAACAGTGACCCCATCTTCCGATAATTCAACTTTCTCTCTATTTAAGTCGATCTTGATGTGCTTCGGCTTTGTCTAGGCATTAACAACCTCATTTAAACTTTCTTGTTTATTGGTATCCTCCATCTCGAATCAATTCCAGAGTTTTTAACAGAATCAAGAGTAATATCCCGTTCCTGACCATTCACAATTTTCAGATCATAATCCCTACACCGATCCTCATTCATCCTAGAAGTTTCAAAAAATTTACACCCCTTCAAAAATTCAACACCCGATTTCATGGAATCAAGTTTCATTTTACCTGGCATCAAAAGCTCCCCATTCCTCATAGCCGCTCCATCTTCCACAATAGCCATCTTGCCCTTGCCTTCAATCTCAGGTTGACGAGGTGGTGGTCTCATCCCTTCTCTTATTACCACCCCATTACCGCCTCTACTACCAGTTTGTAAAGAAACTGGAGGTCGCAAAGCAGCCATGACATCAGCAGAGAACGCCGATGATCATCCGACGGTCGCGCCACCTGCTGCGAAAAATCACGGGAAAACTTGATTCAAACCCGAAGAATGGATTTTTCTCTCTCTAGAACCCAAACATTCTCTCTCTAGAATGATACTTGGTTCACCTACATTATTATTCATCAATGGATCCTTCCAAAGAACTAAAATTTTGTTGGAAATATTGGCCACACCATAATTAAAGCCCAAGTACCTAACCATTTTATTCAACTTATTATTAGAAATAAAAGGCTCAATAAAAAAAAAAAGTAAAGAAACACTATGAATATAGCATAAATTTTTAACTTAAATTCTACTAGAAGGAAAACCAATGCCTCTCACATTCCAAATAATAGACTTAAACATTAGAATACATATGGGAAGTTTGTGATCGTGTCATTTTAGGTGATTGCAAAATAATATTTTTTTTTTCTTATTCTCGATGTTACAAGCGTAAAATCATAGAAACCTTCATACCTTTCTTCATTTCCATTCTCATAATGGTCATGATCAGTATTTGATTCACTATTATGAGATAAAGTATGGGAATACTTATAATCCTTTTCCCCATATCTACCTTTGTTTGACAATCAATTTCCCAAAACATCTTGAAAAAACTTGTCTTCCTCAAAATTTTGTTCCCTAGTATCTTGCCCATTATCAATATTATTAAGATTCACATGAGAACAAATATTAGCATTAGCCATAACTTGCTAAATTTCATAATCTTTTAAAAGAATAAAAGAGGGAATTTTAGGGAAGTCACCATTTCTTGACGCAAATTATCAGAACCAGTATGAATGGGGTTGTGGGCAACAATGAGAGCGGCTGTGAATTGCACAACATTGTCTCCTTCAAAGGCATCCACTACAGGCACCAGTGGTTCATGAGCTACATTTTTGGGTATGTTAGGAACCATGGAAATGAGTGGCTATAGAGGAATTTTTTCCTAAAAGCTTTCCTACACAATATTAGTAAAATTTCATCCATAAGAATCTTTTTGGGTCTCTTTATTTTTTTTATAAATATGGATGTAGAATAAAACATTTAGCATTGCAGAGACCATGCAATTTAGAAAAAGTGTAAAATAATGGCAGATTCTTAATATCAACTTTTTCTTGGTAGCCATTAAGCTTATAACCAATCCAAATTTCTTTTGGATGTTTCTTTGAAATGTCCATTTTAACAAAAACTCTCGTTAGATGGATGTTTAACAGGTGCAGTTTCCTGATTCATTTATAAGGGTCTACCAAAAATGGAAGCTAATGCAAAAGAAATTCTATTGATTAGTGAATTGAAGCCTTAGATTAGGAAATGGAATCCAAATCACAACAATCGGTGACTCCTCATGCACATCAAAACTAAGAGTCCATATCAATAATCGCATTGATAACCATTAATATAGTAAGTTCTTCTAGAAAAAATTCTTCTAGAATCAATCATTTGGAAGCTTAATCGCAACATAATGTTGATCAATCAATCCAATAGTAAAAGAGCCTGAAAGTTTCAAGTTTAGAAAAAACTTATAGATAATGTCAAGATTAGGCCTACACAAAACAAATTTACTGACCATAGAGTAAAGGTGAAGGGGACAGCAAGGTTGGAAACAACCTTGTCATCGATCAACAAAGCTGACAATCCCTTGAAAGTCAAATGAAAGAAATCATTCTTAGAATTTGATGAAGAACTATTATCAAGAACTCCCTTAAAGGAGCTGGAGAAACCAACCGCATTCAAGATTTAACCAAGGCACGATGATGATGACATCATCATCAACCAAAATCAAGAGAAAAAAAAAATAGGCTTAAATAAAATAACAAAACAAAATGAAAAAGCATCAAACCAAAATAAAAACTAAAGGAAACAGTGAAAAGAGATAAATAGTGAAGAGGAAATGATCACGGCAAATGAGCCCCACAATTGCTTTAGAATTCCTAGAAGAAAAAAAGAGAGCCGTTGAGTTTTTGAGCTGAAGAGGAAATGATTTTGTTAATAAATCATAATTACCAGGGATCCCCTAATAAGGGTATCATGTTTTTAACTGATCTCCAGTATGATTGAAATCATCATGTACGATTAGGTCAAAAAATTGAATTCTTCTAACTCACTAATTCACTTCTCCTTTATGTGTGTTTGAAAGGTTACTAGCTTAGGTTCCACCAGATATATAACTTGACTTAGGAAAGGTAAAAAGTATGTTGAAATTTAAATTACAAAAAGACACAACCTTAGTCTACTTGATCTTGAGTTTATTAGCATTGAATGTGAACTTATGTACCTAAAAGGTTAGTGAGCAAGGAAAACAAAATATATATGCAAGAATAGCAGTAGCAAAATAATAATAATATTTATTATTATCAAAATCACTGTGCTTGGGCCCATATTTACAACAATCTCCACCTTTTTAATGATGTTAAACATTATTGTGAAAAAGTTTTCAAAGCTCTTAGACATTTTTTAAAACTCCCTCTTAGAACATGAAATTATGAAAGTATGGGAAGTTAATTTTTTTAAAGAAAATTTTAAAAATAAGAAAAAAGAATAAAAATAGAATAAAACTATAACGAAGGAAATTTCACAAAAATATAGGATTAAAAATAACACACTACTCCCCATTTTGACATTACAAAAAAGAGGAAAAAGAAAATAGGAAAAATGCTAAGTATTACAAAATATAAAAATGAAGACCAGTATAAACACAAAAATAAAAGCACTGACAAACTAGAAAAATGAAGAACCCTTAACAGGTGGAGGTGGTGGTGGTTGAAAGTATTGATGAAGAGAGAAAAACTACTCCTCAAACAAGGCCACATTCTTGTCATATTATTGTTACTGCTATGCTACATATGCATAAAATTAAGCTAAGTCCTGATCATGCTGTTTCTACTGCTCGGCTATGTTGAATACAAATCTATCCTCCCAAAGATCATATTATTAAGCTAGCTTATCAATCTAAGATTATTGGTGGATAATTGTCCTTCCTCTTTAATAACAGGCTCTTTGTGCATAGGGTGACGTTAAGTTCTGTGAAGGATGCGGAAGGAGGTATTAGAGTGGAACACATGGAGGTGATCAGGTGGAACAGGGAATTGAAGATTGTATTTTTATTTAAGGACATAGGCAATAAGATGTATTAAAGTTAAATTATGCTTTATTTTGTATCCTACATCTCTAATACATATTAAATAATCAATGTATCAAACTAAAAGATCAACTACATTAAAATCAAGGTTGGCTATGATGTAGTAAGTGGTGAGTGAAAGGATAGAAGTAATGTGAATTCGATCCCCAGCTTTAGGAATAATAGAATTACAAAGGGTTTATTGGATGGTTCGAGCATCATTGACTAAGGAGCTAACTATGGATTCATGAAGGAGACTATTAAATTCCCTAAGGATATTATTAATAGGTGTCCAATTAAAATCAGGATTAGAAGTTAAGATATGGAGTCTAGCAATAGTGGTGGAAAACTAAAGAAATTCATGGAACTCCTGATGGGTTGTTTCTATAGGCCTTCTACTCATATATGAATGAAAAGTAGTGACATCAGTATTAGGTCTAGGGTTTAAAAAAAATTCAAATAATATTTCATAATTGAAGGGATGACAAAGGGTAAGGATAAAGCTAAGAGATGTACAAGCGAATACTAATAACTGAAAGTTCAGTGTATTCTGATTGATAATCTTGGAAGGAGTAATACCATCAATTTTATAGCGATTAT